AAACTACTGGTGCACAGCAGGCCGACCATACAGCGCAGCGGTCACAGCAATGCACTGGTCAGGGGTGTCCAGCCCGTGGCCCAGAGCGGCTGGGAAAGCAGCCCAACACAAGACTGTGAATTTACTTAAAACATTATGAGATGTTTTTGTGATTACGTGTCACAATGTATTTCATGTATGGCCCAAGAAAACTCTTCTTCCAGTGTGGCCCAGAGACACCAAAAGTTTGGACACCCTGATAAACCTACACTAACATAGATCTCACAAATAAAATGTTGAATAAAAGTCTTTTGACTTTTATGAATGTCTGAAAATTTCCAAAATGAGAAGTGTCAATGTTAAATGAAAAAGAAATCTATAGTATAGTACCATTTATGAAAATTGAAGACACCCCCAAAATAATGTGGTATCTTGAACAAAAACACAGATCTACCCCCAAGAACACATCCAACACAGAAGTGGAGGCTCCTCGAACAGAGAGGGGAATGGCAGTGAAGAAAAAGGAGAAAAATGAAATAAAACAAGCAAGGAACATTGCACAAAGACTCTTATGCCAAAAACTGAAGAAAGTTAACCAACCCTCAGCACCAGGATGTAAAAAAAAGAGAAAACCCCCTAAGTTAGCACAGAGGAAAGGCCTTTTGAGGACACAGCAAGAAGGTAGCTATCTGCAAGCCAATCAGAGGGGTCCCAAGAGAAACCAGCTCTACTGGCATCTTGATCTTGGGATTCCAGCCTCTGGAATTGTAAGAAAATTCATTTCTGTTGTTTCAGGGGGAAAAAAACAGAACGCCACGCCAAAGCTATCTCTAAATGTGCTTTGCAGGGAAGCGGGCAGATCAGCTTGCATGAGAAAAGAAGGGGGGATCTTTCTGAAATACAAGCTTGGGGTGATTTCAGGCCCCAGAATCCAATGTGCAACTGAGCCCTGGATTTCCCCTCTTTGACATATTAGTATTTATAAAGAAGCAGGGGTTCTCAGCTTTTGGCAAAAGGGATGTGTGTCTAACTCTGGGTCTGGGTCTCTTTGTGGTGTGTCTGTAGATGTGTGTGTGTGTGTGTGTGTGTGTGTGTGTGTGTGTGTGTGTGATGTTTATTTGTGGGATAAAGAGCACCTGGGAGGAGAGCTGAGCACTCCAGTGGAGGATGAGCCGCCCTTGGTCGTTCAGTTCCATTGTACTGAAACCATAGGTCACAGCCACAAAACTAAGCCATCTTCCTGCCCCCACTAGCCCTTCCCTTCTTCACCATCATCCTCTCACCCACATCCAACACTGCTTCCCAACTCCCACATCCAAAAGGGCTGATCCAAAATATGGTCCTCTGGTAACTACTCAGCTTATTAAAATAATTAACTGCACAGCCCAAATTCTTGGGATGCGATAGGAAATGATAAATGACAACTTATATCGGTTGTTTCTGACCAAGAGCCTTGATGAGAAACTCCAAAATCCTTAAGACCAGGAATGCCGCACAGGTCCTCCAGAAGAGATTGCTAACTCTAGCTACTGTTCAAAAAAAGGCAAAGAAAAAGCCATCTTTACTCTGTCATGTCCCCATGAGGGCATACTGGTCACAGGTTTTTTCAAGGGCCATCAAAGAGTGTACCATATAAAATATGGGTGAGAAAGTGTTTGGGACACTCAGAAAAAAAAATCCCCACTGATTGAATTTCTGCGAGAAAATGCAATGGATTCTGGCAGCAGCCTTAAGTAAGCAAGCCCATGGCAGGGAAGTATTAATATGTCTTTAGGGGAAGAAGAAATAGCTACACAACTACAGGAAACAGCAACATACCTAAAGTGAAATAAGGAAGGATGAGCAGACCGAACACTTGCACCTCCCCAAAGACGGGGGCGAGTACACACTGTGCAAACAATCCTGAATTTTTACTCCCCAAACACTGTTCTGTCTTTTCTACAGCAGCACTTTCCACTGGATGGCAAAGTCTGGGAATTCCAGGGTTTTCCTGAAATGCTCTGTATAAAGTAAAGTTTTGTTAACAAAGTATATTTGATAGGCAGCAGGTATACTTTTTAGTTTAAAAAAATCCATGACACCTATATTTAAGAATCCTTTAAATTTTACATGAGATACGTTAGCAAACCATGCCTATGTTTTTCCAGCTGAGGTGCAGGATCTGCCACAATTTGAAAATTAGGGGGAAAACATATGAAAGTGTTGAGTTTTCAAGCTAACAGTGAATGTCATGGTCAACCCCAGCAACTGATTTAAGAAAACAGACAAGGTTATTTAAGTGTCAAAACTGGCAAGCTTCTGTTATGAAAACATCTTTAAATTACAGTTTAATAAGCATTTATTGAGTCTCTTCAAGTTAGGCACTGTAGAAGATGATAGGGGTCCTCCAATGAAGAAGACACTTATGATAACTATGTCCCTCTAATGTTAGTTTAATACAGCCCTTGGATTTTTTTAAGTGCTTTCTGATATTTGAAATAGCCATCAGCATTGAAGAGTTGCAGAAATACATACATTTTACTAAAAATGTAAATTTCTAGTCTCTGAAGCCGAAAAAGAAGGAAAAGATCATTTCTCTGCTTTACATATTGCTATCATTTTCTGCAGAAAAACTAATGACTTAAACTGTGTTTGGTGGCAGCTGCCGCCTCCTGCTCTCCAGCAGGTCACAGAACTGAAGAGCCTCAAAAGCATGCTGCTGGGTTGGCCAAAAGTCCTTTTAGTTTTTTCCATAAAATAAAAGAACACGTTTTTCATTTTCACCAATAAGTTTATTGATTTGGATATTTTGAGCATGTCGGCTGTCTCCCACTATTGGTTTCCAGTGGGTAGAGGTCAGGGGTGCTGCTGAACATCTTCCACAGCATAAGACAGCCCCACAGCAAAGACTTATTTGGCCAAAATGTCAATAGTGCCAAGAAACTTCACAAACCACTTTTGACACATTTGATCAGTCCCAGCACCTTCTCCACACGCTGCATAAATCTTCTTTTGCATTTCAGTTGTTTTTACCTCTCTTGAAATAATAAAGCATAATATGCCAAAAATGTTGTATATTTTATTCTATCTTTCATATTAAAATGGCTACACAAAAACTCACCAGTTTTGATGTTTTTTTAATGCACAATGATACGACAACTGTCACAATAAAATCTAACAAAATTGTTTTGAATGAAGTTAAAGACAACTAAGGGCTACCAGAGCTGTCTCAAGGAAAGAAACCGAATGAATTTTTTGTCCAACTCAATACATAGTTTAAGAGAAGAAACCCAAAGACCAGGGCCTCCAGCCCTAAAGTGAAAGTAAGATATGGAAAGTGAACTGTGATAATCGGAAGGCAGCTAGCTTGTGGAGGTTCCCCCAAAGCTGGCGCCGCCAACAGCAGGCACAAGCTGCTGCCATAGGCTCACTAGCTTGCTTGGACAAGGCATGGCTTCAGAGCTGGAAGGATGCCACCTGCTGAATCACCAAACATCCCTGGGCTTCCCTTGGAGCACTGACCAGGCAGGGCCCCATCCCCCAGCTGGCTTCTCCTGTGGATATATTACACCCCAACCAATGGAGCACCCTTCTCTATAAGCCAAAACAGCCGCCAACCCCGTTAAGTCTGGGCCGACCCAGGCAACTCCCATCTATCTCATTGCTACGTCACCAGCCCACTCCTCTCTTTCTGCCCACTCAGTCCCCCCAGAATGTTCAAGCCCCAGAGCCAGGAAGCGTGGGGAGTTCACAGCACACCATGACAGGCACTTAACACTTCCATATCCAGGCAGCCAACCAGAAACACCTCCAAATCTGAAAGCAAAATAACCTGTGCAAACAGCTTTAAAGGTCCAGAAAGGTAAATGTCAAGAGAGCTAAAATAGTAGGCAGGCCCCGTAACAGAAAATAAACTTCCCTTTCAGAGCGCAGCCTTCACTCTTGATTTCATAAGCGTGTACAGCTTAAGTCTGTACTGCTTGAAGGTTAAAAGAAACATCTGAGAAGCACCTGCATGGATGCTTTTCACTCCCTCCAGCATGTCGATCCTTGTCCCGATTTTCACTCGCGACTCCCAAGAGGGAAAACAAGCGTTAACCGGAACGCGCCAGGCTGAATCCGTTAGCTGGACCAGGACACCTAGTCCGCCCACCAGAAGAAGCTGCAAACCTGAACCTGGGTTAAGACCGTGGGAGACACAGCCGCTGCTGTAGCTGCGCTGCCCTTGACAAACGCCTCGGAATCGAAGAGACCCCTCACTCAAGGGGACAGCTACGTCCGGGAGAGACTGTCAAGTTTCAGGGTGGGCCCGTGCTTCTCCAGGCCTTACCCCTAAACACCCTCCTCCTGCAGGGCAGCCCAGCGGTATTTTAGAGCCTCCTCCTACCTAGAAGCTATTTTTTGTCCTGCCGAGGGGAGCTCGCTCCTAAGCGAATGAGGTCCAAACTGCTATGTTGTAGGGGGCCACAGAGGAGGGGAGTGATTGGAAGGATCCGGACATGCTGGGTGCCTGGCCGGCTGCGATCTGGCCCAAAGGTACCAACTGTCACGCCGCCGCCTGGGGTGTGGGGGTGGGGCCATGATTTAGGGTCGGTCCCAGCGGGTCTCCGGACCCTGGTTGGGCCACTGCCGGAAGGAGACCCGTCTCCCGTTTCTTTGGACCCGCCACCGTCCGCTCATCACAATCGGACGACTGGCAGTCTTCCTGCTCGCACGCATCACCTCTATAAAGGTGCCCACTGACGCCCCCACCTTCCTCCCCGCCCCAACTTGGTCTGGGAGCCCCTCAGGCGACCCAACCCCTCCAATTCCCAGAGCTCGGCAAACCGACAGCCCCCAGCGTCTGTCTCCTGTGCTTACCCCCAGGAGTGGCGGCGCAGGGGGAGAACCGGCCAGGTACGCGCGCGACGAGGCGCTGCACGGGTTGTGCTCACGCCCCCTATCCCCCTCGCACTCCTCTCCCGGGAGTCAAGCCAGGCCCATAAGGCGGGTGTCAGATCGGCCCTCCGAGGTCGGCTTTCTCCCCACGCCCCACGACTCACTAGCACCGGAGTCGCGGCAGCCGCCGGAATTCCGCTCGCCAAGCCCCCCGCCGCGGGATGAAAGCCGGAGCAGGGCACTGTCGGGGCTCTGCACCCTGATCCCGCTCTCTGGCCGGTTCGCCGGGAGCAAGGGGAAAGCAGCCTTCCCTGGCCCTTCCCGCTCCCGTCCGTGCCCGCTGCCGCCGCCCCTGCCTCCCCGGTGCGAACGCTTCCGACTTTGCCACCGAGAGCCTCCCGGGCCGCCGAGCATGCCCAGTCCGCTACTGAAGACTCCCCGGGTTCCCGCGCGACACAAATCCGCAACTCCGGGTGTTCGCGACGGCCGGGAGGGCGGGGCGAGCGGGAGGTGCGGGCGGGGGCTCTGCCCTCCACCGAGGGAAACCCGGTCCGGGCTGTGCGGAGGGGCAACTGGCGTTTGGCCCCTTTGTATTACTTTTAATTAGAAGCTCGGGAAGCGAGCATTTTCCCCAACGACTTGAAAGGTGCCGCTTGCACAATTTTGGGTGGCCGTTTATTGGGCCAGATGGGAGCCCATTTTACGGTCAAGCATCTCAGCGAGAGCCAGAGCCTAAAAGCTGGAGCTGGTCAGAAGAGCTAAAGCAAACTCGACCTTCTAGAGTCTGGACTCTGGGGCACAAGTTTGCGAGCTATCCGTGGTTTCTCTTCCCTACCCAGCTTAAGAACTGCGACACTAGTTATTAACTCCTGATCGAATGTTTATTAAAAAGGGGGCGGGCCTAGGACGCTACAGACCATTTTCAAATTTCTATCAACAGATGTGCTTTCCAAAAGCTATAAAGCCTCAACCCCGCGAATCCACTGAAGTCTGAGAAGGCAGGAGAACAGTCCTCTGCGAAGGCTACTCGGGACGCCTCTGAGCCGCCCCGCCCCGTCCGGGCCCCACCTCCCACCGGCCCCTCAGAGTTGCGGAGAAAACCTGGAGAGCCATTAGCTTGGACTAACACACTGCGCATGCCCAGTAGCCAGTTCGGTTGGAGGTTGCCTGAAGGAAGGTTTTCTTCGAAGGACCTCGGTGCCCAGGTTAGGGGCGAAAGACAGTGACAGGTGGCCTTCCGCCTTGGCGCTTTCCTCCTGCTCCGCCTGCGCGACACCCCTATAGCGGAAAGGCCGAGGGGGCTGTGCCTCGTGCGGTGTCAAAGCCTCATCTAGCGGGGCTGGGGGAGGGGGTGTGCACGGCGGGATCGCGGAGACACGTGACTGTCCGTGGCGCTTCGGGCAGCCATCTTCCGCCCAGCAAGCGGGCAGCGGGCGAGCAGAACGGACCCAGAAGCCGACGGGTTTGGAGCGGAGTGCGCTTCTCCCCGGCACTCCTTCCTGCAGGGGTCAAGCCTCCCACTCGGGGGCACTTGCCTCGCCCGCCCAAGGCCCCGAAATCGTTCTTGGCCCAGGATTTTCCTGGAGGGCGGAGGAGCAAACTAATATCTGTGAAATGCAGAGGGCAGACTTCGAGGGCGATGGCATCCGCTTTCCCCAGAGGTTAAAGTTGGAGAAAGGGCCCCCTTTCCCTAAGGTAGTGACACTGCTCATCCAGCTAACTTCTTGTTCTAACCCATTCCCTGCACAGGTATGATGTGTTGGCAGAAACTTCTGGAGAGATTCTGTTGCTCATCCCTGGATGCATTATCCCATAGTCCTTTCTGGGGGACAACTTGGATGGTGATATGAATAGCGAATATTTTTGGAGCTCCTGCCACGTAGCATTTGGTGTCCCTGTGATCCTAGGACAGCCTTGTCACCATCATAAAAGAATTTGTTAGAATTGCATAATTCTAGACCTAAGGGTGGGATCCTGCAGTCTCATGAACAAGCCTTCCTGGTGGTTCTCTTAGACATTTCATTTCTCTATTCCAACTGAACCTCAGGTCAACCTACTTTACAAATGTGGCATTGAGATTTTACATAGCTGACCCTACAACAGGGGTGTCAAACTCACTTTCACCGGGGCCACATTAGCCTCGAGGTTGCCTTGAAAGGGTGAATGCATTTTAGGACTATAAAGGTAACCTCTCCTTAATAGTTAAGTGAGAACTCTGAGCCTAGGCCAGGTGGAAACACAGTGCGGGGTGGATAAAACAAGGTGGAGGGCAGGATTCAGCCCAATGTCCTTGTGTTTCCACCTGTGATCTAACCTAATTGCAGTTATAGCCTCTCCCAGGAATGTAACTTTTAACCACTTAATCTGGAATTACCTGATCCACATAAGTGAGTTAGTCCTATTGATAGACCCTCCTTACCCCCCAAAAAGGTGACCTTGCCTGAAAGAGTACACTTCTTGTTAGAAATTTGCTTCTCTTGCCTGTAAAAAAAAAGGCCTTCTGCTGTAAAAGCCTTCCATTTTTAATTTATTCTTCATTGTATATCTTCCATTACCGTTTTGTCCCCTTCTACCCACCTCTCCCCAGCAGTCACCAGACTGTTGTCCATGTCCAAAAGTCCTTTTTTCTTTTTTCTCAATCCCTCCACCCCCTAACTTCCCCCCAACACCGACTACCTGTCTTCTGCTCTCCAGCTATGAATCTGTTCCATTTTCCTTGTTGAGTTTGTTCATTAGATTTCACAAATGAGTGAAATCATATGGTATCGGTCTTTCTCTGACTAGCTTATTTCACTTAGCATAATGTTTTTCAGGTCCATCCATACTGTCGCAAAGGGTAAAATTTTCTGCTTTTGTTTATGAATGGGAGTATTCCATTGTGTACGTGTCCCATAGCTGTTTTATCCCCTCATCTACTGATGGACACTTTGTACAGCTCCTCAGAAATCCTTTCTGTTTGATAGATGGGATGCTGCCCAATTCATAAATCTTTGAATAAAGCCAATTTGATCTTTAAATTCACTCAGTTGAATTTTGCTTTTTAACAGATTTGGTGGCAGTGGTGGGATCTGAAGCAAATTTCTGACAGTGTTTGGAGACAAGAAACACAGCCATAGCACCCGCAAACCCCTTTTGAGTTACCTGTGTTTTCATTTCCAAGGGCCACGAAGTTCCTCTTTGTTCCAAGCTCTGCTCTCTGCATGAGCTTGCAATCTAATTGGCTTTTCAATACAAGGCAAGTCAGCTTGAGCTGGCAGACGGTTCTGCCCTTTCTGCCCAGAGCCCAAACTCCCAGCCTCTATTTCAGAGTACAATTCTCATTTGGTGGAAAATTTGAGTCATTGATTCTATCCCAGGATCCAATGGGAACTGTTATTGGCAGTTTGCAGTTCGCAATTTATGTGGAGCCCCTCATCTGTAGACCCCACTTATAAAGGTTGGCTGGTTCAATTTTTTTTCCCCAGGGCAGAAATCCACAGTGCAAATAGATGATGCTCACAGAAGCATCTCTTGACCTGGACATGGTAACATTTCTTGGTTACTGCTGATATGTTCAGGTACAGATGTGTGTTTGTCTTATTTTGTGTAGATAAGGCTACTATTGCTAATGGGAATCTCAAGAGCAGTTGCAAAATTGGTAGACACAGGTCAAGCATTCAGCACCTGCCTCCAAACTCAAAGACTCCTATGTTAGGATAAGTTGGTCACGGAACAGATTAGAATGCCACTAGGTCACCTGCCAACCTGAGGAAAATGTCCAGGTAACGAGGTGCACTATAAAACACCAGTCTCCAACTCAAAGCCACGTTCCCCATAGTTACTAGTTTGGCTCCAAGAGACCCAAAGACTTAGCCTAAATAAACATAAATAAATAAATAAATAAATAAATAAATAAATAAATAAATAAATAAATAAATAAAATTGGATCTTTAAAATCCAAGGAGTTGAGCACATCATCTTCTGACACACCTGCTTCTTTTATATCTAAAAACTGTGGTTCTGGAAGCTATAAATAGCTACAGAAATGGCAAAATCTTTCTACAATTATGATAGCCATTATGAGGAACATTCTAATTACATAAGATGATTTAAGAAAGTACACTTAAAACAAGAGCTTGCAAATTAAACAGAATGCCATACCTATTTTAATTGGTATACAAAGGCTTCAAAATTCCAAAATAACTTCATTGAAAAATGTGGTGTAAAAGGTTAATGAAAAATTAGTATATAAGAGATAACCTAAAACCAAAAGACTATAAGACTGACATAACTCCAGTTCTCTCCTCTGTCCTAGTAATTCTGTCTGAATTTCCTTTTTGCTCCAAAAAGATAATCAGTCTGTTACTTTTTAAAATAAGACTGGAGACTACAGCAAATCCTTTTTAGGTATCTCACTCCTTGGTCAAAAGGTGAACTAAGGACCATAGTTTAAACATTTTTTCTAAACTCAGGGAGTATGCTCAAACCTTTTTGTAGATGGATTATTTCCTGAGATTAATGGATTGCTAAAAAGGATGAATACAGAATGGAGAAGTCACTGTTCTGCCTGAACTCAGACCATAGCTGAGCACTTTGAAAAGACTTTGTGTTAGAGACTTCAGCACAAAGTCTTTTCTAAGTCCACCTGTAACCAAACGCAGGTCCAGCTGCCTGCCACAACAAAAGCCAAACTCATGAGAGAGGTGCTCGTGAGAAGGAAAGGGGTTTATTCAGATGCCAGCAATCTGAGAAGGTGGGACACACTTGTCTCAAAACCCATCGTAACATCTCAGTGCAAGCAGAGGCTTTTATGAGTAGGGAGAGGGAAAGCAGAACAAAGAGTTCAAGGGAGGAGGGCTGAAAAGTTCTGTATGTGCAGACTAGCACAGTCCACTCTGATAAGGACCTTGAAACTGGTCAAGCAGATGACCTGGTGTGCATCATCCTTGTTCTTGTCATCTTGGTTTTGTAACTGAAGGTCAGCAAATCTTCCAGGATAACTGAAGGTCAGAGTCTGTCGTTTGGAGTTAATTTCTAGGATTCTTATACAAACACGCTGTTTATCTATAAGCTCCCCATTAGTCAAAGTCAGCATTTACAAAAACAATGTCCAAAGAATGGCAGGGTGGGTTACAATTCCCCACTGTTACACACCAAGTTAATTGCCTTACAGAGAACTCCCATATCTACCCACAAAGGAGGGCCTCATATCCGCCTCTCGGAGAGTGAGAAGATTCTGAGGGCTTTTCTGGTAAACTTCTTCATTATTCCCTGAAACACTACGGGGAAGCTAAAACTAAAATTAATGAAAAGCCTTGCCAAATTCTGGGAGCTATCAGAGCTATACGCCCTCTACTTTTGACTCCACTCAGAGCCTGCAGATGAGATCCCAGGAAAAGTGGCAAAAGCCAACTAAATGTGAGAATTCTTGCCAG